GAAACGAGCCATAGTTGTTTAGTCTTTTTCGGATTGTCCCATCGTGAACTTTAACATTTAATATGAATTTGCTGGAGTGTCTTAAAATGGACTAAAATTGTTTCAAAATGGTCTTACAGCAACTATTAGTTATTAAAGATCATAGCTGTTGTCTTTCCTTTCAGTAGCAGCACCTACCTGGTACTTACCAATTTAATTCACTTGGAAACATTAAGGATCTAATTAGGTTTTCACACATCGTGGCTTGGTGTTGTTAAATGACTAATCAGACAGGGTAATATGTTAAACGACGCCATGTGTTGTTGTTCAACTGAGGTTGTATTTATCTAATTTTGAGTCCTGCTAAGGACCAGATGATTTCATCTTATGTTTGGATATTTAAACCCTTAGAAATATAAAACAGGTTTACCTTCTTTTTTATGACTATATGAGCCAAATGCTTGGTTTCAGACAAAACTGTGAATCATGCGACCCTACAGCCCTAGTATGTTCCAAGAACAAAACCAGACAGCTTAAAATGAGAATAACAGCTCCGCTATAAGTATTTGATACTTTGTTACATAATGTATAAATGTTGCATTAGTGATTCTCAGTGCATTAAGTAAGGAGTGGTTTAGTCAGTATCCCTACCTTAGTATTATGAACTTGCCTTTACCCTTTAGAATGGTGTTCATGTATTAATATGAATTGTCCACATATGTTTATGGAAGTTGTGCTTCTAATAAATCATAGAGCAAACAATGTCTGAACAGTTATTCAGGTGGCACTTAAAGTGGTAATGGTCTGTGGACAAAAAAATGAAGTCTCACTGTGAATGCTTTACAATTGAAATCAATAATTGCATTCGTAGTCAGAACTCTGCTAGTATCATCTTTTCATAAAGGCAACACAAAAACCCAGTGGAGCATCTTTTAAAGAACCTTTCATCCTTTTAGAAACTCTTCATTCAAACATTGTATGAAATCACAAAATGCAAAATAAAAAAGGTTTCAACGACCACACTTGCCCGACACACAACCCTCACATCATCTACCAGTCCTGCAGTTGGTGACTAGCTCGATAAATGATCAAAATTATTTTGGGGACATTAAGAAGCGAAATGAAAATGTGTTCTCAAGTATTATTAGAGATAATTAGGTGGAACAGTTTGTAAATTATAGACCTTTAATGGATTACTCTTGTTCTGGATGTTTTTCTGTTCAAAGATATCAGAGTAAGGGCAGCATGATGGTGTGGTGGTCAGCACTTTTGCCTCACTGGATCCTGGGTTTGAAACCACCATCTAGCAAACCATTGGGCCTTTCCGTGTAGAATTTGCATGTTCTCCCTGTGTCTGCGTCAGTTCTCTCTGGGTACTCGTTCTTCCTCTCACAGTCCAAAGACATGTGAATGGTTGTCTGTCTCTCTGTGTTAGCCCCACAACAGACTTGCGACCCGTCCAGGGTGTATCCTGCATCTCAGTCTATGGCAGCTGGCGTAGGCTTTCATAGAAGTACTGTCAGGCTATCTTATAAAGTAAGGTCAAAGCTTTACAGTATAATTCTGAGAAACCACTCGAGAAAACACCTGATGACAACAGTTTTGAACCGTTAGATTGTTCGGACAGATGTAGATTAAGGCTGGGCCACTGGAGATAGAAAAGAGTGGAAAGAGGAAACAGATTCTACCCACTTCAGCAGCTTACTAAGCTGCTGAAGTGGGTATGGCTAAGGTACTTTACATGTGCTGCTAAATTTGAAGCCAGATATGCTAATGTTATGTACAAGAGCAAAATCTTATTTTTTAGCATGAAAAAAATGCTGCAAGACATTAGTTCTCCATTATTATGTGTTCAGTTACAATACCTGGAGCATCACACAGCATGCCACATCCAGTATGATGTGTTCTGCATGGATGTTACACACTTGTTGTATAAGATGACAACAAGTTTGTTATTAACAAAGTCACGACAAGTGGGGGTGGGGGGTGGGAGTGGCAGCTGTTAGTACTAGCCGCATCTCTAAGAACATATCTAGTTTTCCCACAGAATTTCCATGTTGTTTCCAGAAAAAGAACATGTATCTAAACCTGTCCTTATACTCTATTTTTGTGACATTACAGGTGACAGCTGCACCTGTGTTACAACTGCTTGCTTCCAACCCTCCAATTTGTGCTGCCCTTAAGCTGGCCTTTGTTGTACTGGCTGTGTCTGTGTTCTTGAAGTGGTGCATTGTTAGGAGATAAGCTTCAAACCTTTCCACTCCCAAACTTTTCTGTTTTGCAATTGCAGCAGCATGCTAATCTCCCTGTTGTTTCATACAGTATAGTACTACTGTATATTCAGGATGTAAGTTTAGGATATTATGGTAGTATTATACAGGCCTTAAATAAAGCAATTGCTCTACTTTTCTGCTTTTGCGGTACTGTGTATATAACCACTATATTCACCATAATGGGACCTGGTCACTTGTGATTTCTTTTTTTCCTGTAGTATGACAGTGGCAATGAAGGCCCAGGCCAGGTGGGAGGTGATGGAGAGGACGGAGGTTTTCTACGCTGGGATAGGTCTTATGGTGTTTGGTACCCTTCTCGTAGTGAGCAGCTTCCTTGCTCTGGGATTCACCGGAACCTTCCTAGGTGAGTCCCAGACACAGTGTCAGATATTAAATGGACACAAAATAATTTTAGTCTAAATATAACTTCCTATTAAAGAATACTGTACACATCACTGAAGAACAAAGATTTAAACTGTAAGCATCTATCCAGACTGGCATATATCAGCAGACGCTTGATTGCCATTGTTCCCAGAGGGTGAATCCCATGTTGTGGTGATTCCTCTTGTGACACTAAATGGTTTACATTTGTAGTTTTGAATACAATTCTTTAACAGGTACTGAATAGATTCTTGCAGGCTGTTAACATGCTAACCCAACCATCAGATGCTAACGATCAGAATTTTATCAAGTCAAGTCAAGTCAGGTGGCTTTGTTGTCATTTCAACAATGTGCAGTGATACAGTACACGAGACAGCGTTCCTCCAAGACCATGGTGCTACATATAACAGACAATCAACACATGACTACATAGTACAAGTGCAAGGAAGGAAGTAGAGACACTGTTGGGCCTTCTTAGTTAAGGAGCAGGTGCTGAAGGACCAGGAGAGGTTCTCCGTCAAGTCAACACCAAGGAATCTGGTGCTCTTGACGAACTCCACAGAGGATCCATTGATGTCAAGTGGACAGTGATCCCTCCGTGCTCTCCTGAAGTCAAAATCATCTCTTTGGTTTTGTCCATGTTCAGAGGCAGGTTGTTGACTCTACACCAACCATTAGCTGTTGCACCTCCCGTCTGTATGCTGACTCATCGCTCTTGCTGATGAGACCCACCACAGCCGTGTCATCGGCAAACTTGATGATGTGGTTCGAACTGTGCATTGCTGCACAGTCAGCAGAGTGAACAGCAGTGGGCTGAGCACACAGCCCTGAGGGGCTCCAGTGCTCAGTGTGGTGCTGTTGGAGATGCTATTACCGATCCGGACTGACTGATGTCTCTCCGTCAGAATGTCCAGGATCCAGTTGCTCCATGCAAGACTGCATGGAGTGTGTTGAATGCAGTTTGGCCCTCGCTGTTCTGAGGGCTGCCTTTTCACCTGCTCTGAAGGCGGACTCTCAAGTCTTTAGCAGCTCACACACCTCTGCAGTCATCCACAGTTTCTGGTTGGAGCGTATTGTGATAGTCTTGGACACAGTGACATCATTGAGGCACTTGCTGATGTAACTGATCATAGATGATGTTTACTCCTCGAAGTTGGTGCGGTTGCCATTTGTTGCAGCCTCCCTGAGCATGTCCCAGTCAGTGTGCTCAAAACAGAGATGGCTCCTCACCTTTCTCAGAACCGGTTTGCAGCATCAGTGAGATTGTAGCTACAACAGCATGCAGATGTTAGCATTTACCATAAATTATAATTTTGCTCAGGGTTAAGCATTACACAACCCCAAGCATGGCTTTAAACACTTGTTTTGTGTTCACTTAACTGCATTAATTATAATAAAATCATATATTTTTTTACAAACTATAAAACTATAAACTTTACAAACTATGAGCAAACAAAGCATCACATTGTGCTCTCGTACATGAAAGCTACAATAAAACAGCCTTTAGTAACATTAAGGGAT